CCCTGTGAGGTAGGTTAGGCTGAAAGTCTGTGACTGATCCGAAATTACCCACTCAGCTTCCACAGCAAGAACCTGGGTCTGGCAGAGCTGTATACCACAGAGCTGTGGAGGATGAAGCAGGAGCTAAGATGGCTAGAGCAAAGGTGGCGGCGTGCTCGTGACGAAGTGTCACAAACATCTTATAGGACATTTATGAAGGCCTATGAAATAGCAGTGAAGGCCGCAAAGAAGGATTTCTCTGTGGCCTCCATTGCGTCTGTGAACTCCAGCCCAATTATTTAGAGTTATTCGGTCTATTACGACTCTGCCGCAGGGCAGACCAAATAGTAGGGAACTGGCTATTGGCTGCAAGGCATTTGAGTTTTTTCGCAGATAAGATCATGACACTCCGCCAGGACCTCCCAGCCACAACTAAGACAGTAAACGAACTGGAAGACCTTTGTCCATCTTCTGGTCCGCTATTGGACCACTTCAATTGACTCACCCAGGAGGAAGTTGATAGGATCCTGGCAGTGGTGAGGCCTAGCACCTGCGTCCTTGACTCATGCCCTTCCTGGCTAGTGAAATCCTCTGGGAAGAGCATCCGGCCCCCTCTGGAAGAAATTATCAACTTGTCCCTTTCTACTGGGCCTTTCCCAGAGGCTTTGAAGGAGGCGGTAGTTCGTCCGCTCCTGAAAAAAACCATCATTGGACCCAACGGTCCTGACCACCTACCGCCCACCTACCGTTCCTGGGCAAGGTGGTTGAGAGAGCGGTGGCCGAACAACTCCAGGCTTTCCTGGATGACGCGTCCATCCTTGACTTCGTCCAGTCCGGCTTCCACCCTGACCATGGGATGGAGACCGCTCTGGTAGCCCTTACAAATGATCTCTGTAGACATCTGGATCAAGGCGGATCAGCGCTGCTGTTGCTATTAGACTTAACGGCAGCGTTTGACATGGTTGACTATGATCTGTTGACCCACCACTTCACCAACGTAGGAGTTCAGGGGACTGCCTTGAAATGTGTGGACTCTAATTAAAAGGTTAAGTGTGCGGACTCTAATCTGGGAGAACCGGGTTTGATTCCCCACTCCTCCACTTGCACCTGCTGATGTGACCTTGGGTCAGTCACAAGCTCTGGCACAGCTGTCCTTGAAAAAGAGCCGTTTGTGTCAGAGTTCTCTCAGCCCCACCCACCTCACAGGGTGTCTGTTGTGGGGAGGGGAAGGGGAGGGAGTTTGTAAGCCGCTCTGAGACTCCTTTGGGTAGTGAAGGGCGGGGTGTAAATCCAATCTCTTCTTCTTCTTCTTTTACCTCACAGGGTGTCTGTTGTGGGGAGGGGGACGGAAAGGAGTCTGTAAGCCACTCTGAGACTCCAAGTGAAGGGCGGGGTATAAATCCAATCTCTTCTTCTCTTCTCTTCTCTTCTCCTTCTTCTTTCTCCACAGTCAGGGACAGAGGGGTGGCGCTAGGCAAGAGGGTCTCCCCATGGCACCCACTAGAATGTGGAGTGCCGCAGGGGGCGATCCTCTCACCAATATTATTCAACATCTATATGTGCCCCCTCACCCAGTTAGTCAATATGCTGATGACACTCAGCTCTGTCTGTTAATGGACAGCCCTCCATCCCTGGAGATCTGGCTGAGGCTTTGGACGCTGTGGCTGGATGGTTGCGTCAGAGTCAACTGAAGTTAAATCCATTGAAGATGGAGGTTCTATGCCTGGGCTGGGGGGTATGGAGGTGGGCACCAGGCTTCCCACACTGGAAGGGGCACCTTTGGTGCTGGGCCAGTCAGTGGGGAGCCTGGGAGTAACTGGATGCCTCCTTGTCTATGGAAGCCCAGGTTGATGCAGTTGCCAGATCTGCATTTTTCCACCTTAGGCAGATCAGGCTACTGAAGCCTTGTCTTCCCCCCCCCAGCCCCTAGCTACAGTGACCCATGCAATGGTCACTTCCAGGCTTGATTACTGCAACTCACTCTACACAAGCTTAAGAACATAAGAACATAAGAGAAGCCAATGTTGGATCAGGCCAAAGTGGCCAGAAATACCAGGGGGGAGGTCCACCAGTGGGGCCAGGACATTAGAAGCCCTCCCACTGTTGACCCCCCCCCAAGCACCAAGAAGGCAGAGCATCACTTGCCCCAGAGTCCCTATCTATACCTTGTGGCTAATAGCCACTGATGGACCTCTGCTCCATATGCCTATCTAATTCCCTTTTGAAGCCGTCCATGCTTGTAGC